TTGAATTTTTAAAGGTTTAAATTTTTGAGGATCTTTTTTTGAACATGGCCTGACTTTTCATTTTTATGATTTTATATATACATACAATGTTTTCATAGATTTGTGCGTATGTTTTCAACGTATACTTTTCATAATTTATTATTGTAAAAGTTAAATATAAATATATTATAAAATAAATAATTATATATTATAAAGTATTATATTTATAAGAGAGAGAGAGAGAGAGAGAGAGAGAGAGTAAAATTTAAATATATTATAATATTAATATCTTGATAGAGCTAGACTTTTAGACACTTATCTTTTACTATTTTGTCTAAATAAGTCAGAAAAAATGTAACAGTAATTAGAGTTGAATGAAGAAAAATTTATTTCCTTATTTATCATCGTTATCTGTTACAAAGCTTTATATGTAATGCAGATACATCAAACATAGAAAGCGACAATAAAGTAAAAGAATTTGAAGCACGCATCTGTAAAAAAAACGAATCATTAAGAAAGTTTTTAATATACCGAATATTTTTCTTTATATTTATTTTTCATTGACTATGAGGATCAATTTATTCTTCGCAATCGAGAGAAAAATGTTAGTTAACAACATTATGGAGTAATAAACTTCACTTGGCGACTGGAAATCGTCAATAATGCAACATTTATTACTGTTTTGAAGTTTCGCTGATTCTCCCACTTATCAATGTAATCTAGTCTCAGCCATACAGCTACATCCCGACCTGCAGTTCTGAATGATACCTAGTCAAGGTTACATCGATTTATCCGATCAAGTGTCATTTCACGTTCAAGAGCAGCAACATGACCATCGTGTTGGTGGAATTTTAATTCTCAGAACACTTATAGCATTTTACTTTCATCTGACGCAAAATTACAAGTACTGACAAAAACGTGGAGTTTCGTGCGTAGGTGGAGCCTTGCCAAATTTTATTAAATTATAATTAATAAGGAGGATATAATATTAATGGGATAATAAAGTAAGTAAAAATATAATTGTTATTAAATTTGAATTTAATTAATTTTGATTCTTTTTTAAAGAAAAATAAGGAATTAATTAATATATTACTATAAATAAATAATATAAATAATGATCTAAATATTATTGAAATTGAAATAAGTGAAAGGTTATTTAATTTTATAAATAAGAAAATTGATATAGAAAAAGATAGGAGTCCTGCTATATTGAATATTATTAATAAGAATATTAAATTAAAATTAATGTTGTTGGTAATAAAATTGTAATTTTTGAATATTTTAAATGAATAAAAAATGAAAATTAATGATAAAAGGATGATTCGGTCACATGTTATCAGTGATTTGTATGAGAACGGACCTCATTGATTTCTGTTGTAAAATCTACAAGGACAGTAAGGGTCGCATGCAGGTGGGCAGCATGATTGGGATTTACGATTTTATGTCGCCGTTATTAATAATCATCGAGCCAGCGCTAGTAAAAACGATATTGCAAACTAATTTCTCAAGTTTCGCCGAAAACGCCTTCTATAATAGGAATTCTACTTGTCATTTTACATTATTATGTAACGTGTTTCAACGATGATGCTATGATGTTTTAGCGTTACAGTGCTGAGTTGTGATATGTTTTTAACTTTAACATACTTCTTTAAACGATTCACTTATCGAGCCAATAGCAACGCTTAAAAAATAACAATATTATGGAATAACTGGAATTTGTTACTATGTATATAACGGATTTTTATAGATCTGTGCGTGTGTTTTCAATATTTAATTTTCATAATTCATTTTTTTTTAAATTAAATATAATGTCTTGAGAGCTAGACTTTTAAACATTTTTTTTCTCGCTATTTTTGTCTAAATAAGCAAAACAATATGTAACAATTAGACTAAATGACGAACAGCTCGTCGTTTATTAATTGTTGTCATTTGATGTAGAATTTTGTATGTACATTGCAGATATGTCATATAAAGTGACAGTAAAAATGTATAGACACTCTGATAAAGACTTCAATCTTATTTTATACTAATCATATCTATTTATATCATAATTAATAACATCGAATGCTTAAACATAAGCATTATACATAAGTTATCTATCTTAATAATAATATTAGCACTTACACAAATATAACAGAAAATATACAAATTACATTGCAAAAAGGAGGTATTGCTACCACTGTAAATCCTTCATGGCCGTCTCATAGGTGGGACTATGATCGGAGTAAAACTGTGTGTACCAGCGGCGGTATACTTGGATGGTGCGATCCTCGTGCGTCAGGATCGGATGTTGCTCGAATCTCTTAGAGTTCCAGATTCTAATGTCGCGCTCAAACATCACGCACTCGCCCAGAAAAAGCAAATTAGCGTATGGCGCCAGCAGAGGTGGCGAGAAGATCAGATGGATCACCCGTTGTAGCAGCGGTTCGACCGGCGTTATTGTTAACAAAATGTACAAAGACCCGAACGACGTATTGACATTTAGCTCGATGATGCCAGGTCCGATCTGCTCTGCGCGTACATCGGACTCCATTAAACTAAAACGTTCTAAAAGTATCAATTTGTGACACAGGTGCACACTGGCCTTGTGCTTCTCCCTACTTCTGTCTACGTTCTGCGCAACTGTAAAGTGACGATTCCTGTTGCTATTTTTAATCGGATGGATTGACATGCCTTTCAATTTGGCGCTCGTCTTTACTGCTTCTTCATCTTCTTCGTCTGTCTGGCTGTCATATGACCAATTCGGCTGCCATCTTGTGTAGATGATCCATAAATGCCGAGCTAACCAGGAAAATTTGCGAGAGAGGAATATAACTGGACTATGAAGCTCATTGAGATGCGCAACATCGGGCCCATTCTCGGTTACATCCTAATGCACAGGTCCACACATTAAATTTACTATTTATTTAAAACAGATTTTCGAAAATAGAGAGGATATAAGAATAGAACGGTAATTTTCTCTCTAATACTTCTTCTCCATGACTCTGGAAAATGATTCTCAACAGTACATTCAAGTGAACTGCGCTAATAATTAGCTTGATTTATTAAAAATGCTTTTTTTTAGTCTTCTCCGAGTGATTTCCGCGTAATACAGATACATCTTCTATCACATCAAAGAATCAAATGCGCGACAAACCTGTATGTGACAGTTAATGAGGTACTCATTGCGACCTTGGAAACGCCAGGCTCCGGTAGAAACAAATGTGTGCGGCTGGGGCTGCCAGTCCGGCTCAGTTGATTCAGAGTGGTACCAGACAAAGATAACACGATTCACTTCGCAGCTCTTCCAAACTTTCACTCGGGCGACATATGGCACTGTGAAAAAAACAGTTATATATAGACAGGATAGATACATCGAGAAATAATTTTTAGTATACATTTTAATATACATATATACCTTAATCAAAAAGTTCCCGGAATTACCACCAGGTGATGCACTGAGTCAGCTGATTTGAGTTCTGTTTTTTTGGTTAGGTTGCCATATCTATCATTGACATTTCCACCAAATTTTATCGCCATAGCTTGACATTTGTAAAAGTTACGCCGTCTTGAGTACATCTACCTCTGCACGGTTTTCGATTTTTTACAGTTTTAAAAATGGAGTTTGAATTTGCAACATCCGTGAATTTTTGACCAAGAATGAAACGAATATCATCCAACAGCCATCGAAAGGCGTAACTTTTACAAATGTCAAGCTATGGCGATAAAATTTGGTGGAAATGTCAATGATAGATGTGGCAACCTATCCTAACCAAAAAAACAGAACTCAAATCAGCTAACTCAGAGCATCACCTGGTGGTAATTCCGGGAACTTTTTGATCAAGGTGGTATGTCTAAGAGTATACTAATTTAAACGACCGAAAGACGAGCAAATAAGATATTTAAATAAGTAAAACATTTAACAATTTAATAAAATAGCAAATATACATTAACATTTCGACTCACAAAATGTCAAAAAATTAAAAAAAAAATTAAAAATGACGATGTTTCAAAGGTGCCCAGTTTGACGTGGAATGTTTCAAAAGAAACTTACAACAATCTTTACACATATTAAAATTTATAATTATAAGAGGTCAGGTCATACCCAGACAATTGTCTCCACCGGCATATAATAATGGTAATCGAAGATAAAGCACACAATGTCCAACAGAAAATGTAAGCGAATGATATATGTTGATGTAAAATTTTAATAACCATCGTTTAACTGCAAGAATGACATTAAGTCCAAACGTATATATGTTGTCAATAGTGTAAAATTAATTAGTGGTAGAATGAGACCACCATCGAAAGTAAAGAATTTAAATCATCTGGTATTTATTCAATTGCGTCTTATTAAAAACATCCCAAGGATGACTATAATTGGAGTTCAAAGATAACTAGTTGGACACTGTACTTTAAGAGTATCTCAGTTATCATATATGTCAATAGAGATACTATTATCTGGTTGTGACTTGCCCTCTCACTATCATATTATTGTATAAAGTCTATAATCATTATTGATGAAGACTCTTGAGCCGAAATGTATTATACATTAATATATCATATTTGCTATTTTATTAAATTGTTAAATGTTTTAATTATTTAAAAATCTTATTTGCTTATCTTTCGGTTGTTTAAATTAGTATATTTTTTGCATTGTAAACTAATAAGCGTTATCTAATTGATTTGTTTATTAAATGTCTCAATTAAGATTATGTAATACTTGATTAATACCTTTTGTAGTATAAGGTATGTTCTCGCAGTAACCATCCTCTCCGCGAAACGTCCAGCTATGAAAGGGACACTCTAGACAATCTCCCTTGACACGGCCACCCTCGGCCATATTTGCCCCTAAATGGGGGCAATATGCGTCTAAAATGTTGATAACGCCTCTTTCGGTTCTTGAAGAAATTGATAAGACGTTACGTAATAAATATACAGGATGTTTTATCTCAAAGTATGCCTTAAAATATTTGGAAAAATAATCAAAGAAAGTTCTGTACCCGAATTACCTGAATACTGCGAAATTTTCGCCGAGAGCAGACACGTGTTTCACCTGACCATTTTTTATCTGCGTACTTTCGAGCAGAGCGAACCATCCGTTCGGATAGACCGGCGGTAGTTTTTTGCCTACCTTTCGATTTTTGTTACTTGCGTAAAAGCTGCGGGTCTTAGTCTCAGTTCTTAAATCCTCCAAGAAATATTAATTAAGTTACAATCTTGCACATTTTGTAGTAAAAACACAGAAAATAATGTCGCTTTATCATCACTCACTTTCACCCAGTTGAATTTGAAGAAATATGCAAAGTAAACGAGGAAGGTCAGTAGGGTGGTTGCAATTCCGACGCACCATACCAACATTGTCACTTCTGTCTCAATGTTCGATTCTCTCGATTTTATTCTACTTCCTTAATGTGGCGTCCCAAGCAGAGCAACAAGTCACGATAACGTCAAAATAATATTAAATTAAATTAGAAATGATTGACAAATGACTTTTAATGATAATTTTGGAGTCATTTTCACATCATTTTGATATCGGGAAACACGGTAGTGTTTCGGCGATAAGCCAAGTGCAACGACATTACCGTGGCTCCTTTATGCGATCATAATAACTTGTTGTTCTGCTTAATATGCCACATGAGTTCTCACTCCGTTCAATTGCAAAAATAGGAATGCGATTTATACAGGAGGGAGAATACAATTTATATGGAGATCGCGCTCTACAAGAGAGATAAACTCGACACGCAAAAGTAAAAAGGTGAGAAATGAAGAATCTACTTGTTATCATTATTAAGACTTAAAAAATCATATATCTATATATATGATTTTTTAAGTCTTAATAATGATAATAACATACATAAATACGATAGAGAACGTCAACACGGTCAAAGTTAAATGTTTTCGAATATACTACACCAGTGCTCGCAAGAATCTACACATTTCGAGCCGATTGCTGCGGGCTCCTCCCACTATCGCTCAAGGCTCGACGGCCTATCGCGCGCGCGACGTTGTGGCTCAGGAGTGAGTCCCTATACTAGAAATATACTAGGAGTGCACCTTCCGCCAAATCATCATTGAAATATATTTTTTATTAAAAAATTTATTTCTATTAACATAAAATTTTCTATTGTTAACATATTCATTGTTCCTTAATGATACTATGATCAAAATTTCTCGGAATTACCACCAGGTGATGCTCTGAGTCAGCTGATTTGAGTTCTGTTTTTTTGGTTAGGTTGCCATATCTATCATTGACATTTCCATCAAATTTTATCGCCATAACTTGACATTTGTAAAAGTTACGCCGTCTTGAGTACATCTACCTCTGCACGTGTTTTCGATTTTTTACAGTTTTAAAAATGGAGTTGAATTTGCAACAACGAGTTTGTATTAAATTTTTTGACCAAGAACGAAACGAATACCATCCAACAGAATTCACCCGATATGGCTCCCTGCGATTTTTTTCTGTTCGATCGAGTCAAAAAACCACTACTAAGAGGTAATGGAAAAATCGAAGACGGCTCTGATGGCTATACCGACAATAGAGTTTCAGAAATGTTTCGAGAGCTGGATCAAGCGCTGGCATAAGTGCATTACTTATTTCTAATCTATCTCATTGGACCTAAATGTATAAACCAATCATATTCAAAAATTTTACAACAGTTGCAAAGTTACAACAGTTGTTTTTTCTGCTGAACACAGCCATTTTTTTATCAATGTGACTTGAAATCTGCCGAGTTATTCATGTGCTATGAAATCGCATAACTGACAGCAGTTTTGGGTAATGTGATCTGAAGAACGCTTCGAAAGCGCTTTCCATACGCTGTGCTACGTGGGCAGTTGCCCGCCGCGATCTGACTCGATATGAAATACGGTTACTTCAACATTTCTTTACCAAACTTAATAAATAACAGTTCAAAAGACGCACATAATAACATACTTTAATAACGTATGCAACTTTAAACAAACAAATTAAAAATACGAACTTACCACCTTATTTTCTGAATACTAAAATAACAAGAAGAGATGTGATTTCACTTTTTTGTATTTCTTTGGTTAGCAACATATTTACATCGTATCTTTTGTAGTTATATCTTAAGAAGACGACCTTCTGCGTAAAAATTTCATCACAATGATATCTTCATCCATTGGAAAAGTACCAAACCAGGATGCGCACAATTACCCGCTGCTCACAGTTCCTCCTCTTTCTCCTACGCCGTACGCTCACCGTACCAATATCGTGGAAATATTTTGTTATCTGGGAATATATAAGATATTATAGCATTATGAGTATGCATACTTATTTATACAACATTTATATAATAAAAAATTAACAATTTTTAATGACATAAAATTTCAACCGGATGATATAATGACTAATGATATAAATTTGCTGATAGTAAATTTAATATGTGGATCTGGGCATTAGGATATAAACGAGAACGAGTCCGATCTCAACGCGCATCTCAACGCAGTGCATGGTCCATGTACATTCTCTGGCAACTTTTCCTGGTTAGCTCGGCATT